CCTCAACTTAACAACAATTCGTTTAGTGACCGTTCAAAATTACAACAGCACTGAAAAATATGACTTAGGACCGTTTTCCATAGTTACAACCGTTGCAGCATCCCCGTGGTCAGGTGATCAAAATTCGGCCACTTGGCCAGAGGTTCATATTTATGACGATTGCCGTGTCCCGGGGTCCTGTGATCCCCCTTCTGACAAACAAAGTCAACGGGGAAACCAGATTCACTTAACAATCATGTTACTAACTTATCAACTGCAGTGATTCACTTAACAATTGTGCCAAAAATGTTGTAAAATGGGGCAAAACTCAACGTCTCACTGAACAACAGAAATTTTGGGCTCAATTGTGGTCATAAGTCGAGGACTACCTGCACACATCACTATGAATAGTGACCACCTAAGGAGGAAAGCTGAGCAGAAGCCTACCAACCTGTCAACGTTCTTTTTCTTGCAGTTACCCAATATTATTTTTACCAGTTTGAGTTTCTATCATCCTTGCTGCTCTCTTTGCTTCATTGCTTTCATGAAGACATTTCATTACCCAAACTAAATAACACTGTAATTGCACTGATGACATTACCTAGTGTGGGTAATAGAACAAAGGAAACAACCAAGCTCAGAGAGCAACAAGGATCCCTCATTTCAGTCCGGAGCTACAAATATTTTCCTTTATCGCTACCAGTTTCCAATTATTTTCCAACACTCCCCCACTCCTGCCTCCATTTAATTGGCAAGCATTGTCGCAATTCTGGATTGTGCACACAGTTCAAAAAATCTATGCCAGAAGTGCTTCAGATAGGGGACTGGAGGCTAAAACATATAAGGAACAGTTGCTGGAATTGGGTATGTCTAGTTTAACGAAGAGAAGGATGAGGGGGGACATGATAGCAGTGTTCCAGTATCTCAGGGCCTGCCACAAAGAAGAGGGAGTCAAGCTATTCTCCAAGGCGCCTGAAGGCAGGACAAGAAGCAACGGATGGAAACTGATCAAGGAGAGAAGCAACCTAGAACTAAGGAGAAACTTCCTGACAGTTAGAACAATTAACCAATGGAACAACCTGCCTCCAGAAGCAGTGAATGCTCCAACACTGGAAGTTTTTAAGAAGAGACTGGACAGCCGTTTGTCTGAAATGGTGTAGGGTTCCTGCCTGGGCAGGGGGTTGGACTAGATGACCTCCAAGGTCCCTTCCAACTTTATTATTATTATTATTATTAAAATTTCTTAAAGCAGCAGCACCACGTTGTTGTTTTTTTGTGTAGCAATGTACGAAATGATCACCCCGAACTTATTGAAATTAGGCTGCAGGCTTGCAGGCGTTTGGTTCAAAACACCAACCATTGTTTGGGGGGTTTAAAAGATGCTTTTTGCAAAGGGAAATAAGCGAGACGTGAAAAACCAAGTCCACAATCACATTTGGGAAATCCCAGAATCCTTTCCATGTATTTAAACTTTGCATTTGTGCAATCTCAAGCATCAACTGTACCCTACTTTGCAGCAGTTCCTAGCGGGCTTGTTTAACACTGAACGTGAATTTAAGGCCCTGGCTATGTCAGGAGCACAGTTCGCAGGAACCCTGAATACCTGAAAATGAATTATTGCATTTGTTGCATTGCAAAAACCCTGCCGGAGTCACTCATTTCTGCCAGTTTCTAGGCGTATGGACTTCAAATCCCAGAATTCCATAGCCAGTATGGCCGTAGATGAGAATTCTGGGTATTGATGTTTATAGTTTGGGAAGTTTAAGAAACACTGCTAGAAGGCTTCTGCAAGAGAACCCAAGTGGGTTATGATCTTGTTTGATTTTAAATATATCTTGCATGCAGAGGGAAATAGTAGCACTTAGACTTATATATTGCCTCATAGTGCTTTACCGCAGAGTTCCCCAACCTTTTTGAATTGGCGGCCCAGAGGGAGGGAGGGGGGAAAAAGGGGATGGTTTTGTGGGAGGGCAGATGTGCATGTGCGCACACATACACACGCATGAACACCCATTGCTCACACGAGTAGGGCTGAGAGCACCTATGGACCTCGCATGAGTGAGGCCCCACCTGTCTGCGATGCTCGCGTGTGGGGCCAAAAGCACCCGTAATGCTTGCAGGAGGCCGAGCACTTGCAACGCTCATGGGAGTGAGATTCTGAGTGCTTGTAATGCTCACGCAACTGGGAGTGCGAGTTCCCGTAATGCTCGCATGCGTGAGACCCTGAGCGCTCATGACAGTGATGCGAATGAGGCCTTGAGCGCCTGCACACACCAGCCAGCCACTCACATGGCCCGGTTGCGAACAGGTCATGGACCGGTAGTGGGCTGTAGCCCACAGGTTGGGGACCACTGCTCTAAGCAATTTACTGAGTCAGCATATTGCCCCCAACAATTTGGGTCATCATTTTACCAACCCCAGAAGGATGGAAGGCTGAGCCGCGTCAGGATTGAAATCCTGGCAGTGAGCAGAGTCAGCCTGCAATACTGCATTCTAAGCACTGTGTCTCCAGGATTTTTTCTTTCATTAAGTATGAATTGTTTAAAAACCGAATAACATTAACATGATAGCAGTGTTCCACTATCTCAGGGGCTGCCACAAAGAAGAGGCAGTCAAGCTATTCTCCAAAGCACCTGAAGGCAGGACAAGAAGCAACGGATGGAAACTAATCAAGGAGAGAAGCAACCTAGAACTAAGGAGAAACTTCCTGACAGTTAGAACAATTAACCAGTGGAACAACCTGCCTCCAGAAGCTGTGAATGCTCCAACACTGGAAGTTTTTAAGAAGAGACTGGACATATTTGTCTGAAATGATATAGGGTTTCCTGCCTGAGTAGGGGGTTGGACTACTAGATGATCTCCAAGATCCCTTCCAACCTCCTCCTCCTCATTATTATTATTATTATTATTATTATTATTATTATTATTATTATTATTATTATTATTATTATTATTATTATTCCCACTCAGAGGAGAAGCAAGGCCATTTCTTCCTCTGGACATAATACAGGTAGTCCTCGACTTACAGCAGTTCATTTAGTGACAATTTGACCTATGACCATTTTTCACTTATGATCATTGCAGCATCCTCATGGTCACGATTTACCTTCAGATGCTTGACAACTGGTTCATACTTATGACGGTTGCCAGGTTCCATGTTGGTCATGTGATCAACTTTTGCGACCTTCTGACAAGCAAAGTCAATGGGGAAGTCAGATTCACTTAACAACCATGTTACTAATTTAACAACTGCAGTGATTCACTTAACAAATATGGCAAAGAAAAGTTGTAAGGTGGGGCAAAACTCGCTTAACAAATTTCTCGCTTAGCAATATAAATTTTGGCCTCAATTGTGGCCGTTAAAGTTGAGAACTACCTGTACTGTTGCGCTCAGCTCTTTAGCCACCATTTGCCTTTTGCCATCACTGCCTTGGATATCCGAGAAATCAGTTTTCACAGTCCACAACACACCTACACAGCAACTTTTTCAATATCCAAAATGGCAGCCACTGAAGCCTGCACAGATATATGACAGTGTTTCATTAATGAGCCATACAAGGACCTGGGAGTGAGTTCTTATCAGCATGCAAATACAGCCACATCAACCATGTTCCATAGCTGCCATATGTGAAGAAAAGGAAAAAAAAGACACCGGGTTGATGTTTTGGGGCTTATTTTAAGTGGACCTTGCAATCTTCCTTGGGTTTACTCTATTAATGGAATGTGATATTTAGTACTGCTTACACAAAACTCTGTATTCTGAAATAGCTGCTCAGTTTACTTAAAGTGAAACTTTAATGTATGATACCTGCTCACACTGCAAAGCTTTGGTCCATTTAACATACCTAGCTGATTCCCTGTTAGGTGCCCAATTCACACGTTCTCTGCAACCAGAGGCTCTCACTGACATAAGAGTGCCATACAAGCAGCCTTGAACAAGGTCTGTCAAGGCAATCATTCCTAACCATCTTCCATAAATGCTACGGCTGCCGGTCCAGATGTCCCAGTCAGCCTGGCCTCTTCTAGGGAATTCTTGAGACTTGTCATTCTAACCCACATGGAAAACACCATATTGGAGAAAGCTGGATAACAGAAGTCCTACTAGCAATAGCACACATACCACCCTATGTAGTGCTTTACAGCACTCTCTGGGCGATTTACGATGTAGAAGCACTATTTGCATATTACCCTCAACAATCTGGGTCCTCGTTTTACAGACCTCAGAAGAAGGAAAGGCTGAGTCAACCTTGAGCCCCAACAGGATCGAACTTCAGCCTGTGGGCAGAGTTTGCCTGCAATACTGCATTCTAACTACTGTGCCACCAGGGCTCCTAATACAGCAAATGAAAAGTAGGGTATTTATGGTGCTCCAGTTATTGCCTCATCAATTCCCAGGGGTATTCCTACTATTGACCAGGCTGGCTGGGGCAGCTGAGAGGCATAATATAACAGTGCTTCAGGGTCCAATAATTTACCCACTCCTACCTAAACTGTATATTCGCCTCTTCCTCAATAATTCACGAGGCATCTTTCAGCAAAAGCTAAAACATGTTCTCTATAGTTAAAAAAATATATATGCCTAACTAGCCAAACTATTCTGCTGTTCAATTTGTACAATCAAATGCAACTGTCTTTTTGCAATAGCAGTATTGAGGTCCCACAGGAACTCCATCAGCAATCCTTTCAGCAGATTTTCCATAGGAACAAACTGTAAGACCTGCTGGGGGGACTTGGAGTCGAGTAGGGTCCTCATAAGTTTATTTAGCTGCTGCAAGTATTGGAAAACGGAGTCTGGAAGACCTTGGTATCCAGCACAGAGCAAGACAGCATTGGTCCTTAGAGGCTGAGATGATGTGGAGCAAGCAAAGGAAACATGCTGGAAACAGTTCTGCAAGATGAAGACCAAGCCAGCCATAAAGCGCGTGAGGCAAGAAAGAACGGGCAAAACCAACGCATCTCCTTTTTGAAGCTGAGGAAATGCACCCAAGAGGCATTCTAAAAAATGCAGCTGATACTTGGGTTCTCCGTCGTGTAGTAAAGAACAGCTAAAAGTCAAGAGAGATGCTGACTCCACGTTTTTAACTTCCAAGCCAGACCTACTTTCATCATCATAAAACAGTGGGAAGCCTAAAACCAAGCATTTTTTTCTTTGGCTTGTGCAATCTTTATCTGGAATATATTCGCAGTATTCCATAAGTTCTGATAATTCAGACAGCACCGATGATGCTGTAAGAACACAGCAAAATTGGCATTCTGCGTACGTCGTTCTTGTAAGGTCACCGTTAATAGTTTGGCCAACTAAAGATTTTTCAATGGCTTCGTTGAGGCTCTTCAACACCTCACCGTCACAGAAGGGAGAAAATTTAACGCTTGGCAATTGCTGGCCTTCCAAGGTATACCATAAACGACAGTCGAGGTTGCCAGGGGCTCCTTCTAAAACACAGCCCTTCCCAACATTACCGAGAACGTGTTCATTAATCCACTGGTTAAGGCATCCTTTTACTACCTTGTCTTCCCAGGACAGGGATTCCAGCAGTTTCCTCTCGTTGTAGGTGCAGAAATACTTGTTCCTCTGTCCAAACCATTTGGAATTCATGCTGTAGCCAGCGTGAGGCTTCTTCACCAGCCAGTTATTTCGGGAAATAGGTTTTAATTGGAACCTCTGCAAGAAATATTTGACACAGCAGTCTCGCAAAGCGTTTAACCTGGCCTGCTCCGCCTCGTCCATATAGTCAAAGAGTCGGAGGTTTTCTGAAATCGTCTCCGTTTGGTGCTTGTGAAAGAATAAGCAGCATTCTTCATGGACCTTGAGAAACGACTCTGGAATTAAGTGCTGGGGAAACAGAGCTTTTGCCACCAGTTCTGACCCAAAGTTCTGCAGCATCTTAGATAGGACGAAGTGAATGGCCTCCCGGCCCAAATAGCGCAGGCAAACCACATAGACCTCAGAGTTCCCTGCTTTACTCGTAGCAGGTTTGAAAACATGAACCTCCTCGAAGGAACAATTGAGGAGAAATAGCAAATTAACCGAACTGTGTTCAAACAAGGTGAACATCTTCAGAACAAAGGAGCCTCCATGACCCAAAGTCATTAGAGCAGTGACAGTTTCACAGTAATGCAACGGAGAAACTAACGTCTCTTGCTCACCCGGGTTGCCCTGGCAATCAAAACTCCCATCCGAGGTGACCAAATGAACGGTGGCCATGTTGCTTATGAAATGCTGCAACCCCGTGAGGTGATTCAGACTCGTGACATCTCCGGTATTCTCTGGACCAAAATACCACCAGGGCAAAGTATTGGCAATAAGCCGGTCATCCATAATCATCATAAGGGTATCGTTTGCTTCATGGTAGGGATTCAAGGTATTGGCGACCCAGTTCCAATCGCAAGGGATACGGTGAGACTTCAGATAATGGTTGAGGCTGGCTATAAAGGCGCCAGGGGCCTCACACAGATGAACTGAGTTGAGTTCGCCATTTTGTAGCGCGTCGCTCGGGAGAAGGGGAAAACTGCCAACAACCTCGTGGAATTTGCACCAAGCCTGAGTGCACAACTCGGCATTGACTGACTTCTTGACGTGGGCAATAACTTTCCCTGCTTTGTTGGTGAAGGAGGTGTGCTGATGCCACTCATCCAGTTGCTTATCACTAAGTTTGTTCTTGACTTCGTTCAAGGAATCCTTGAGCGCCTCAAGAGAACTGAATGCTTTGTGATTGGAGGTAAAAACCTGGCTGGGATCAGGCAACTGCCATTCATTGTTGGCTGGTTTGGTATACGAAAAGGTCTTCTGGAACAGTTTTTCAATTTCAGCAAGGATATCTGTGCCAAACTGGTCAAGATTTACAGACTGCTCATCATACGTGGCCTTCTGTCTGTTCATTTTCAGATCCAGGAAAATCTAGAAAGAACATAAAGAGTTTAAAGACCAAAGAAATGAAGTAATGATTTAAGAACTCAATAAAACACTTCCTTAACTTTTCATTTAGCGCAAAAAGAAAAAGAAATTTCCCCTATGCGCTGAGCATTTCAGCTTACAAGAAAAGATGAAATAAATATGAAAACAAAAACGTATATCCCAGTAATCAGGCAGATGAGGCGTTCTTGCCGTACTCTTCCTATTCAAAACACTTTTTTTCTCTCCAAACTGTGTATTGAGGTTAACAAATCCCAATAATTTAAGTACTGTGATTCAAGAACAGCAGAGAATTCTGGGGGGATGTAGTTGTAGCACACACAGTATACTTAAATGGGAAGGCTGACTCTGAATGAAAAGCATGTTAAGCACCAGAAAAGACTGAAACCTTCTAATGAGAATTTAGCATTTATTCTCAATGTAGAGAAAACTTATGAGATCTGTTTTTCTTTTTAAAAAATAGAATCAAAAAGGGAAAAGTAAATTATATAAATGCAGATAATGATTGCGATTTTTATTTATTATTTAATTATCCACCTTTATTATTTCGATAAATAACTCAAGGTGATGAACATACATAATAATACTTCTTCTTTCTCCTATATTCCCCACAACACCCTTGTGAGGTGGGTTGGGCCAAGAGAGAGTGATTAGCCCAAAGTCAGCAAGCTGGCTATCTTGCCTAAGGCAGGACTGTAATTCATAGTCTCCTGTTTTCTAAATAATTTTAGATTTAGATTTTATGATAATAAATAAGACATTAAAATAATCTCCATGGTGGACAGTTATGCTAAAAGTATTTTGAAGTTACCTCAAGATGTATAAGCATTTAAATTTGTCCACTGCAATAATGGGATTCCCAAGTGATTAAGTTTATTGAATTACACAAATGCCACATGGGAATAAATTTAAAATATTATTGTATTTGAAATCAATGGGAACATTATTTAGGAAAGTGATGCTCTATAATTGGTGTATCTATATATCTATATTCTGTTATAACTATTCTAATATCTCTCAAAAGGACAGTCGAAAACCATTTACAATGCGCTAATTTAAAATTTCTGTAGCTCACATTATACCTCACATTTAAAATGGCAAGTTTTTCCATTTACTTCTAGAATAATTTCAAAATAAGACCGCAAATATAAAAGAAACTGGAAAGCCAGATTGGTCTAATGGAGAAGGCATCAAGCTATAAACCAGGAGACTAGTTCTAATCCTGCTTTAGGCCTGAAAACTGATTGGCGACTTTGGGCCAATTACCCTCTCTCAATCCAACTCACCTCACAGGATTGTTTTGTGTGGAAAATAGGAAGACGAAGGAGTATTAGATATGTTCACCGCCTTGAGTTAATAAAAATAAGAAAGATAGAATAAAAATAAAACATAATCTTACCAGCTCATAGATCCTGCTGAACTTAATGAACTTTACATGCAGACATGAAGAAGAATGTACAATGGCTTTAAAATCCTAAGCATGTCTAACTGAAAATAGTTTTCATAAAGTACAATGATTTACTCACAGATAAATAAATTTTGGTTTACTATAGAAGAGGGTTTTTGTTGTTATTTAAGTACCCACCTGTTAGAAGGAATGCATTGATTACTGTTCCGAATCTGGTTGCAAATGCTGTAGATAAGTCCAAGTTCTACCTATTATGGAAAAGAATTCCAGTTTCTGCATGAAATAATCAGTCAGTTTCTGTTTTTATAATGTATTTTCTAAGTTTGCTGTAGTGGAGTTTTTACCACTGTTTTATTGATCGGCAGCACCAAGCCTACTCTCTCTTGATCTCAAAAAGATAAACAAGGTGACACCTGGTTCAATACTTGATGAGATACTACTGGTAACAGGAAATACCAAGTTTATAAACTATATTGGGAAGTTTAAATAAAAATCAGAAAGCGGATCAATTTATCTTTTTGCCCAAGAAACAACATGAAGTTGTCCACGAAATCACCAGAAGCTCAGCTCAATTCAGAGAAACTGTCTTTTATGGATTCCTTTCAACTGAAGGTTTCTAAAGCAGCTAAATAAACCCAATTGTACCATCTTATAAAATCCATCAAAAGCTATATTTTATAATAAAAAGCACTCTACAGAGAGAGTGCTAACTACCAGATGACCGCAAGGAATATAAATCCTTCCGTTCTCCACCATTCACTCAGAACTGAAGAAGCTTCTTGGATGAGAAGCAAAATGTCTTCAAGGAAAAAACAAGAAAGTCCAGTTGCCTCTTGAAAAAGCAGCTTTGGGACAACCATGACCTGGATGACTTGAGAATCCCCATAGACATGAAAAAATTGGCAAAGGCACAGCAAATTTAGAAATATATCAGTATCATTGCAAAAAAACAGAACATGGGAAGAAAAAGAAGCATGAATGGCACAATCCTCAAGTCACAAGACCAAAATCAGCCAACGTGGAAAAGACAATAAGGGCGCAAGAGGCATTTCATCCAATATCAAAATTATTATAATTAAGAATGATCATATTATCGTAAATATCATTATTAAGAAGAAGGTGGCTGTCACATTGATGCAGAAGAGCATGACATCCAGTTTCTAATTTCAGGCAGACACAGTACATGCAGTAGTTCTTGCAGAATAATAATGAACATTGTTTGACTAAGAGATGATTTTTGCCTTTTAGATATTACCCTCTGGCATACCAACAAGAGGCAAAATTTAAGCATATTCTTGTTGTGGATTATGGGAACTATACCAGGATGGGGAACTCTGGCTTAGAAACTAGGACACGGTAATGTATTAAATAGCTTCAGGGATCCCAGATGGATGCTCTAATCCAGGGGTGTCCAACCTGGGCAACTTTTAACACTTGTGGACTTCAACTCCCAGAATTCCCCAGCCAGCCATGCTGGCTGGGGAATTCTGGGAGTTGAAGTCCACAAATCTTAGTTGTCAAGATTGGACAACCTTGCTCTGGGATCTCCCAACATCTGGCCAGATCTCGGCAGCCTTTGATGAACAGACAGCATCTCTAAGGATGTTTAAAGTTTAAAAATATATGGACCAGCCCATCCTACCAATATGAGCCGCCCTTTTCGACATGACTTAACCCACCACCCGTTAACCGAGCCCCTCTCCAGCTTTTCTAACCTGGCAACTCTCAAAACTCCTCAACTTCGGCTCCCGCCATACCCTGTCAACAGATCCCCTCTCTCCTAGGGCAAAAAAATTCGGAAAAAAACTCCCTTTATTTTACAACTTCACCTTCTTTAAAAACAATTCTTCCAATCACGCCTGGACCGAAACATCGTCCAACTGATACACATGCGCACTTCCGCCTGCTCGGTTCCCGAGTTATTCAGAGAGCGCCTTTGGAACGCACGCGCACCTCAAGGAAGACTGTCGCTGCGCGTGCGTAATCGGCCGCGCGATGTTAGGGCGTGAAAACAAAAGCTGCTGGCGTTTTTTTTTTTTTTTAAACAGACGCACCTGCGCAGAAAGCCTTTCTCCGCGAGAGCCCGCCCTCGGCTCCCGCCGCTTCTAATTGGACGAGAGACCAGCGAGGCGGGAGGGCGCGCGTTCTGAGCTGGCGGTTGATGGAGCGGATGTGACGTCGGCGGAAGCGGCTTAGCAGAAGCTGTTTGAAGAGATGCCCCTGAGGGCGAAGGAAGAGTGTGGGGTTTGGTGCGTACGTGGGTCTGTCGTCCTTGTGGGGTTGAGGACCGGGGAATTAATGGTTAGAACAATTAGTCAGTGGAACGACTTGCCTCCAGAAGTCGTGGGTGCTCCAACACTGGAGGCTTTTAAGAAGAAACTGGACAACCAGTTGTCTGAAATGGTGCAGGAGCAGGGGGTTGGACTAGATGACCTCCCGAGATCCCCTTCAGTTCTGTTATTCTGTAATTCAGGATCGTGTCCGAGCTCTTTTTGAGTGGCGATGCTTCTTCGATGAACCTGGGGCAGGCACGTTCCCTCTGGGCCACACCACAGGGTTGTTGTGGGGATAAAAGTCGGAGGAGGGTGTAGGCGTTCCCTCTTAAGCTCTTCGCGGGAGCTTAAAGGGGACGTAAATAAAAGCAATAATGAATACTTATTTTATAATATTGTGAGATTCGCACCGGTTTACCGCGACCTGGCTTGTGGGTGACCCCCAAGAAATGGAATTAAAATGGGTAAACTGCGTGTAAAAGGGTTGTGCGATGAGAGCGAAATAAAAAAGAAAACCAAGGTTTTATTGAAAATCTGCTAAATTTAGCCAATAATCGCCATTGTAGTCAAGTGGATAATATGTTGGAGTGTTGTCATGGAGACCCAGGTGCAATTTATACCATCAACCATGGAAGTTCCCTGGATGATTGTAGGCTACTCATTTTTTTTTCTCAGTTCAATTTACCTCACAGGGTTTTTTATTGGGAAAAATGAGATATGGGTGCCCTGTGTATCCTCCTTTGAGCTCTTGGAAGAAAAGCGAGATATAAATCTAATAAAATAGTATTGCGTGAATTTCTTTTAAGTTTGGCCCTGTGATGTAACTTTTTGCTTTTGAAATGTCCCTTTAAATCAGTTGCAGAAATTGAGATTTGTGGCACTAGTAAGGCTGATAAATCTCAAGAAATGCAACATTTAATAATTTAATTGAAGCTTGAATTGTGCATGCAGCCATCTTTAAGATGGTAAGGGCAACAGCATAAATAGATTTTCTTTAATACAAAATGGTAAGCTGGACACACTTTGGTTTTATCAGCAGTAAAGAAAAATTAATATCTTTAAAGCTAACAATCTTGTATAAGAGAATCTAAATGCATGACATGGTTACTTCATAGAATTAGCAAAAAACAATAGAATTGTTGAGCTGACAATGTCCCAGCCAATATAGATCAGTCTCTTTGTAGTTTTGTCTGGAATTGGTGAATAATTGATGGATTCTGCAGCAAACCTTAATTTGATCTGGGAAAGGTGATTTGGAACACGTTGGTACGCATGCATGTTGCATCTTTAGCATCCCTTTAGATCAAGATGCAACTTTTTAAAATAATTGCTATCAGATGTGATGTGCTATATCACCTTTTCTACTATAAATCTGGGTTGCTGCATAGTACTAATAACATTTGCTAAATGCGCATTGAAAGCAGAAAAAGGAAGGAATCTGTACAGAGTAAAGTGAAAGTGTCTCTCTGAAATTGAGCTCAGCTCCTGGCTATATCTTATAATTTTCTGGGTAACAATATAGAAATGGCTTCTTTTTCCCTTCTTGCATTATGGTTTTAGCACTTGGGAAATCTAGTCTTTCAGCACTAGGATTTCCTTGTGATATTGTATCCATTCCAGCCCTGTTTAGCTTTTTCAAGACAAGCAATACGATCAATGTTGTTAAAAGGTCTGTAGCTATTCCATTGATATGCATACTTGTAACTTGGATTATTTCAGTAATAATAAAGCATTGCAGAAAGAATCAGAGGACCAGCCAAGAAAGTTGTAATGGGTAATGTTGCTTAACTAGAAACCACTTTTTTCTAGTACTGGTACTTTACCCATGCAAGTCTGTTCTTGGATAACATTACAGGGCACTATAACTTGCTGTTAAGGAAATTAACAAATAGTGCGCTTGGGCCAGGTGTGTCTATGCTTCCTGAGCAACTATATCCTGGATTGTCTGGGAGGCACCGTTTCTACAAGGGGAAGATTTGTTTATAAAATGAAAAAGTCAAGTTTTTAAATGTTTAAATAACACGTAAGCGTTAATGTAGTATTCTGCATTTACTTTGTGTGTGTGCGCACGCGTGCATTTTATTAGTGAAATTGTTATTACAGATAAACTCTGGCTGTTAGTAAAGTGATAATTACTACTTGTATTTCATTTATATCTGAACCCACTTAAGATATGTGTATGCATCTTATAAAATCAATGGATTCATTCATGTCTCTTCCTGGTATAGGAATTTGGAATCCATAAAAGTTTATATCATTTCTTAGCCTTCAGGATGCCACAAGCCTTTCTTTCCACAGTAGGTTGCAGTGCTGGATGTTTCTCAATTAATTTGCATTGCTGTAGAAGTGCAGAGCTTTGGATTGGCTTTACAGGTAGTTCTCATTTGCTGACCACTTGTTTGGTGACCATTATAAAGTATAATGGTGCTGAACAAGTGGTACTTACAACCAGTCCTCAAAGTTCTGGCTGTTATAGCACCCCTGCAGTGTTCTGTGGTCACATGATTTCTATTTGTGATCTCCCTGCTGGCTTTTTACAAGCAAAGTCAGTGGGGAGGCCAGCAGGAAAAGTTACAAGTTGTTCTGGTAAGTTCCCCTGGGTGTCCTGTAGTAACCCTGGATCACATACACAGGCCTTCCAGTGCTCACAGAGGCATCCCAAACCCTCTCCCACACCTCCCTTAACTCACACCAGGCCTCCTCTACCCATTCTTCTGTGGCACCCCCATGCTCCTTAAATGGGATTCCCACGACCTTCTGCTTAACCAGATGTCTTAGGGTTATAACAGCAATAGGAATTATCATTGCTAAGGGATGCAGTCCCGTGATATCACATTTTACAACTGCGTTGCTTAGTTACAACAATCCCCATTCCAACTGCCATTGTAACCTGAGGACTACCTGCATTTGCTTTTGTGGGGATTTTTGTGGGGATAATTACCTAATGTAATAAATATGTTTTCTTTGAAAGGGAACCTACACTTCTCTTAACTATATGGAAGTATTGCATATTACAAAATAATAGATAATCGAAATAGTAGAAAATAATGTTTTGGAAAGATCCAAAGATCCAACTGTATTTGTAATATCAAGGAATATAGCTGCTAAACTGCTAAGACAATCTTGTTGGAGTGCTCTGAAAGCCTCGAGGATTAATTAAGAAAGATCTTGAGAAGTTTATTGATTGAAGCTTTTTTGAAATTATATCCATTAGTGCCCTCTTCAGCAGCTCTTTTCTTTTGAAGCTGTTGTTGCAGCACTTTTTCTTTTAAAATACGTATTAAATTATCCTGTGCCCATTTGTCCACAAGAGTATCTGCAGCAGTGCGCTGAAGCTGTGGGCAACATATTCTTTAAAATACACATGTCCTTGAGATGCTTTTAAATTGTGTATATTTGCCACCCTCAAAGCTCTGTTTTTCAGAACAGCATTTCTATGCCTTTCGCTTGAACTGAGAAATTTGAAAACATGAGAGTATGGCTGAAAACAGAATAGAAGTGCACTTATCCAGTTCAATACCCATCATTCCTTATATTTTCACCTTTAATGCATATTGAATAACTTTAAAAGCATTTTGTATGAAAGGTCAGAAGCCTTCTTGCCTTTCTCTCAGATTACCTTTTGTAACGAAATAAATGGACTGCTATGTTTTCAGTGTATTTTCAGTGTATTTTTCCTTGGATACAGCACTGAAGTGGTTGAAAGGTGGTTGATGAGAAACAAAATAACCTCTTGTTGTTGTTGTAAAGTCGTGTCCGACCCATCACGACCCCATGGACAATATTCCTCCAGACCTTCCTGTCCTCTACCATCTTCCGGAGTCCATTTAAGCTCACGCCTACTGCTTCAGTGACTCCACCCAGCCACCTCACTCTCTGTCCTCCCTTCTTCTATTGCCCTCAATCTTTCCCAGCATTAGGCTCTTCTCCAGTGAGTCCTTCCTTCTCATTAGGTGGCCAAAGTACTTGAGTTTCAACTTCAGGATCTGGCCTTCTAAAGAGCAGTCAGGGTTGATCTCCTCTAGGACTGACCGGTTTGATCGCCTTGCAGTCCAGGGGACTCGCAGGAGTCTTCTCCAGCA